CCATTATAAATAAAGGCTTACTTACCTCTAAGCTTTCTTTAAATACGATTTTAGAATCTTACTTGAGAAATATTACGAGAATGGAAAACGAAAAAGTAGCCCCCATTGATCCCGGCAGCCCACTCTTCTTGTCCGGCGACGGCTTTGAACCGGCCGGCGTTCTTTTGCCTCACGCCGTCTTTCACTTTCCTTCGAAGGAGAAGAAAGAGGCTTGCGACTTTATTGACAAGGTTAATATCTGTCGTCTTTGACTAAAAAATTTTGTTTCATCTTATTCATCCATCTTTATGCTAGGTTGCTGACAAACACCGTCGCTTGTGTGAAGAGAGGCAGCGGCTGGGCCTCAAAAGACAAACACTCGAGGCTCGCATCGCTCGGGTGGAGAGGAAGATACGGGCTTTAGAAAGTGATCCCTTTCAATGGGAATGGTGGAACTTTGATTCTGTCGCTGAGATCCCGAAGATGCTCCGGATGTATCTCTTCCATAAATGTTCTCTAACTTCTTTACTTATTTGAACTCGTAATGGGCTTCGGCCCCTTTTTTATTTATGGAAGCATTTGCAATTTTCCTTATTCTTCAAATATTCTCGGAGATGCGTCTTTTAATGCAGGATCGGTTTAAAGGCATAAATCTCTCCGCGAATCACTCCATTACTAGGATAGAATACGTAGCTTTCTAGGAATACGATATTCCTATAAATTATAGTGTCAACTTCTCTTTTCTCCTCACCACTCTTTTTCATTTTAGCAGGTATGGAGTTCAACCTTCGATGTTTAGAATCTATGCCCGACTTCTCCAGGATCGGAATGATAAACGAAGATGCCCCAAATGAACCAAATAGGTGGCCTCTTCCACCTCGCGGCTTCCTAAGATCCCAGATCCGAGCTCCATGTGCTTTGATCAGAGATCTCCCAATCAGAGACCAAGGAACAGCGATGGCATTCATAGAGGCACTTGCGCTTCAACATCGGAAGCTTACGTTGGAAAAGAGGAGACTCCGGAAGAAGATTAACCGGATGCAACGCAGGCTTACTACGGTATCAAGAGATCTTCACGTCCTTGAATCTCACCCTGGAGAATGGGTCGAGCTTGGAATCTCTGACTTCGCTCGAATTCCGGACTGCATGATGCCAATCCTCGACCTTGCTGGTCAAGGAGTTGGAGTGTTCTGCTCGTCAACAAGATCTCCATCTTTGAGGGACATTCCATCTTTTTTTTTTGTTTGAATAAACGCTCTATTTCCAATCCCTTGTATGTTCGCATAGCCGAACCATTCCCTTTAATACAGAAATAAAACAAATTTTTATTAATAGTTGAACTCGTTTCCGAGCTGCCTACATACCCATTTCGGGATCAAGCCACACCGTAGTTCATGTACATAAAAAATACATGTAGCTTTAAACATAAAACTTCTTTAGGTTGATCACATTCCAAGGTCGCTTGACTGGACTGTCTTCTAAGTCTTTCAACCTATAAACACCGTTCCGAACCACTTCGGTAATAATGTAAGGTCCTTCCCAATTAATACCGAGTTTACCGGCACCTTCTTCTTTTTTGTTGTCAAAGACACGCCTTAATACATAATCTCCCACGAAGAACGGCCTACTTTTAACTTTAGAATTGTAATATCGGGCTGCTGCCTGCTGGTAATTTTGAATCCGAATCAAAGCTTGATCACGCCTTTCATTTATGGTATCTAGTGAATCATTAAGCATTGCTAAATTTTCTTCCTCATTTAATGGTGCTTCTGTTCGGCGAAGTCCGGGCACGTTGAGTTCAGCTAGTACTACTGCCTCCATGCCATAAACCAAAGAGAATGGAGTTTCTCCGGTAGGTCGCCTAGGGGTTGTACGATAGGCCCATAGGACGGGTTGGAGTTCTTCGTACCATCCTCCCTTTAGATGATTCAAACGTTTCTTGAGATTGCTCAATATCGTCTTGTTCGCGGTTTCAGCTTGACCGTTTCCTTGCGGATATCGTGGAGTAGAGTAACTGACTTTGATTCCCCAGTCCGCACAAAAGGCATCAAACTCTTGTGAAATGAATTGTGGCCCGTTATCGGTGACTATTTCATATGGAACTCCATGTCGACATATAATATTCTTCCAAATGAAAGCCTTTACCGCTGAATCCTTGATGCCAACATATGCCTCAGCTTCAATCCACTTCGAAAAGTAGTCCGTCAAGACCAAAAGGTATTGTACACCTCGAGTTGATCTGTGCAATGGTCCAATGATGTCCATTGACCATCTCATAAACGGGTACGGGGCGGAGATGGAAGAGAATAACTCCGAAGGTTGATGGATCAATGGTGCATGGAGTTGGCAGCGCTTACATTTTTGGGCAAATTTAACACAATCCGTGATCATAGTGGGCCAATAGTATCCCATTCTTTTAACTTTAAAAGCCATAGCTCTTCATGATGAATGACTCCCACATAATCCTTCATGCACTTCGCTCATGACGATTTCGACTTCGGGCCCAAAAATGCATAATAGGTAAGGGTCACTGACACCTCGTCTATATAATGCATCCTTTGATAGACAAAATTTCGCGCTAACGATTTTCATTTTCCTGGCCTGCCACTTATTCTTTGGGAGCTCGCCTGTCATGATGTAGTGCTTTATTGGCTCCCTCCAGTCAGCCCCCCAGTCTTTAGCCGGAATTTGGTCAACCTTGTGAAATACTCGTGGCTCCGGTTCGGGATGTTCGTTTGGTTCAAGAACATCCTCCTCGATTAACGGCTCGGTTTCTAATATCGTTTCTGGAATCACATCTTCTGCTAAGACAACGGGTTCCTTGTTAGATGTGTTTGATCCCCTTGACTTCCTCCGTTTGTTGGGCGGAGGTTCGATCTCTGGTTTGCCACGGTCACGTGCCGCTGCTCGAGACCTTGTAACGACGAGGGTTTCTTTGTTGTCTTGAATGCTTCGCTCCGAAATGCATTCCACTGGAATAACTCTTTTCAATTCAGGATCTGATGTTGACGCCAATGCGGCAAGTGCGTCCGCAGTTGTATTCTCCCCCCGAGGTATGCGGATTAATTCGAATTTTGAGAAATTTCTAGATAGATCCTTCACTACTTCGAGGTACGCTTCCATTCTTGAGTCCTTGGCTTCATAGTCTCCATTAAACTGGTTAACTACTAATTGTGAATCACAATAAGCCACTATTTCCTTAGCTCCAACTCCTTGTGCCAATCGAAGTCCGGCAATCAGGGCTTCGTATTCTGCCTCATTGTTGGAGGCATTGAATAACAACCGGAATGACTGTTCTAGAATTTCTGATGTTGGAGACTCCAACTTGATTCCCACTCCGGATCCTTGCTTTGTTGAAGACCCATCTACATGTAATTTCCAAGTTTGGTTCTCCGGTTGCTCTATCGTTCCAGGTATTGGTAGCTCGGTCAAGAAGTCTGCTAAAACCTGAGCCTTCATACTGATCCGGCTTTTGAATTCTATATCGTACTCGCTTAATTCCACCGCCCATTTCGCCAAACGTCCGGACTGACTTGGACTATGAAGTATTGTTCGGAGTGGTTGGTTGGTTAATAATTCAACCAAATGGGATTGAAAATATGGGCGCAGCTTCCGAGCCGAAGTCACCACCGCGAGTGCGAGTTTTTCCATCATTGTGTATCTGGTTTCCGGATCTGTCATTGACTTACTTACGTAATAAATTGGTTTCTGTTCCCCGCAGTCCTCCCGAACCAAGACTCCACTAACCGCATGGTTTGAAACCGATACGTACAAATAAAGTTTTTCATCCGCTTCTGGTTTGGAGAGTATAGGTGGAGTGGTTAAGTATGCCTTAAGCTGCCCAAAAGCTTCTTCACACTTCTCGTCCCAAAGGAATCCTTTGTTTCCTTTTAGAATTTGGTAGAAAGGTAACGACTTATCTGTTGATCTCGAGATAAAACGATTCAAAGCCGCGATCCGCCCAGTCAACCGTTGTACTTCCTTGAAGTTTCTTGGAGATGGCATATTTAGAAAAGCGTTAATTTGATTTGGATTGGCTTCAATCCCTCTTTCTGTCACAATATAGCCAAGAAATTCTCCGGATGGGACTCCGAATGTGCACTTCGCCGGGTTCAGCTTCATTTGATATTTATTGAGAATATAAAAAAATTCCTCTAAATGCTTAATGTGATCTTCTTTCTTTAATGACTTAACCAACATATCATCTATGTAGACTTCCATTGTCTTCCCGAGATGATTATGGAACATTTTGTTAACCAACCGTTGATAAGTTGCTCCTGCATTTTTCAAACCAAAAGGCATTACCTTGCAACAATAGATACCTTTATCAGTAATAAACGGCCTATTCCACCCCGAACTAAGTTACTTTATCGTTTTCATACACAGAACTTTCGTCTGTGCTTAAACCCTCATGAACTTCAATTTAATTTGAATTTTCATCACAAACTATTCTACTCCGGTAGGATCCCTCAAATCGTGTGACGGTGTTACTGTTCCGTTAACGGATGCTGACGAGGATGACACGTGATCATATTAAACGACTGCGTTTTGGTCTAGGTGGTTTCTCATTTGACAACAAGGCAAAACGACGTCGTTTTGTGCAAATCAAAACGACGTCGTTTTATAATTTGGGGGTTTTTAGTCACGATTTAGGATCCTTCCTTCTCTTTGTCGGGGCAAAATCGAGGGTTTGAGACGAGCGATAACAACAGAGTGAGACGAATTCTGAGTCGATTGACGGAGAAGATCGGAGATCCGGTATAAGTGTTCTTCGAATCGACAATTTTAAGTCGAAAGGGAAGTTTGGGTCCGATAATGAGGTTAGTCGATCTTCATTCAAATGTCAAGATTTTTTCATTTTCGTTGAATGTAGAATTTTTGGACAATTGATGCAGTGATGAAGAGCCCGATGCACAGTTTGCTTGCTACCACAGTGGGAAATTTGCAGAGGTTGAAGGACAGATTTTCTATGAAGGTGGTGGTGTTCGGTTCATTGATTCAAAACCGAGAGAGTTGTTTGCACAGTTGATGAATCAGCTTCCGGTGAGTTTGTATGGCCAGAGAGTTTGGTATAAATTGCCTTATGAAGGATTTCATGAGAGGAAATCAATCTCTAATGGTGATGCAAATTTTAATAAAATGTGTATGGCTGCAAAATGGACGAAAGCTGTTGATATCTTTGTGGAGGCTGATGGTGATGGAAATGCTAACAGAGTAGAGGAAAATGATAACAGAGAAGAGGTAGCAAGCGATGAAGAAGCAAGACCTGAATGTGTACAATTTGAGGAAGAAATTAGAGTGGAGAGGAATGTTGCTACTGCAGTTGATGTAGATGACGAGTATGATGAGTATGCGACACCAGTGGAATCAGATGCTGAAGATGAGTATGATGATGGTTATGTCAGATACATCAAAGGTAGTGGTGAACTGAAGTTTTTACAAGTTTTCGATAGTATAGAGGCATTTAAAAATGCTATTGTGGAGTATGTGCTGAATTCAGGCAAGAATATCAAGTATGTGAGATGGGAAAAAGCAAAATCAGAGCTTAGATGTGCAAGTGGATGTGCACATGGAGGGAAAGAAACTGAAGAGATGAATCCAGAGGCCCTAAATCCAGATATTGAAGGAGAGAATCCAGAGACTGCAGTTGGATCTGAACCAAGGAAGGAAGTTGGTCAGCAAGAAGATGTAGAAGAGGCACAGCCATGCCAATGGAGGATCTATTGCGCTTATGAAACAACAGTGCAAAAGTATGTGGTAAAAACCTTCAATGATGACCACAGTTGTATGAATACGGGGTATAGCAAGATTATAACTCAAGAAGTGATTGCCAGGCTATTCGTGAATGATGTGAGAGATAATCCAAATATTATGCCTAAAAATATCAGAGAGGAAATCCAGAAACGTTGGGGCTTGATTGCATCTGGTGATCAGTGCAGAAAAGCAAAAGCAAGAGCTTTGGAGATGATCCAAGAGGAGCATGATGAGCAATACTCAAGACTGAAAGACTATCGTCTTGAGCTATTAGAGTAGGATCACTGTTTTTTTTCATTGTTATGGTTTATAGTTGAATTTAACATGGATCTGATCTTATTTTTTCCTTTCTTGCTAGTTCAAATGTAGGTTCAACTGTGGAGCTTGAGACATTCCAGCAAGATGGTGGACTTGATGTCTTTTTCAGATTTTATGTCTGCTTTGGTAGGATAAAGAGAGCATGGAGGAGCTATTCACGTCCAATATTTGGTATTGATGGCTGCTTTCTCAAGTATTTTACAGGGGGTCAGTTGTTGGCTGCAGTTGGAAGAGATTCCAACAACCAGATGTACCCACTTGCGTGGGCTGTGGTGGAAAAAGAGAACGAAGACAATTGGATCTGGTTCCTTGGAAAGCTGCAGTCTGATTTCAACCTCGGTGATGGTTCTGGTTTTACTGTCATTTCAGATAGACAGAAGGTAGATCTTTTAATTTATAATGACTTTGTTTCTTTTTTACAAGTATTAATGGTGATTGTATTATGCTTTTGCAGGGTTTACTCAATGCGGTTTCTCAGCTATTACCACAGTGTGAACATCGGATGTGTGCAAGACACATATATGCTAACCTAAAGAAGAACCATCCACATAGAGCTGACATGAAGGCGATGTTCTGGAAGGTTGCAAAGAGCTACAACACTGCACAGTATGAGAAGAGGATAGAAAAGTTGAAGATGTATGACATGAGTGTGTACAATTCAGTGATGCAGAAGAATCCAAGAAACTGCAGTCTCTGCTTTTTCAGTACAACATCTGGTTGTGATGATGTAAGTAACAACATCTCTGAGTCCTTCAATAATGCCATCAACGCTTCAAGAGAGATGCCAATGGTGGAAATGTTGGAAACTATCCGCAGAAGAGCAATGCTACGCATAGATGTTAGAAGGAAAAAGGCAAAGAATCACAAAGGCAAGTATAGTATAAAGGCGATGGAGAGGCTGCAATTAGAGCTGAAGAAGATCGTAAACTGTAAGGCATGGCCTGCTGGACCAGGTGAGTATGAGGTGAAGGAGAAGAAATCTTCATTCAAGGTATACTTTGGCAAGCGTTCTTGCACATGTAGGAGGTGGGACATGTCAGGCATTCCCTGTCGGCATGCTTTAATGGTGATTTCAGACAAGAAATGGAATCAAGAGGACTACATATCACCTTGGTATTTGACTTCTAGGTGGAGGAATGAGTATAATGCACATATAGATGCGGTTAGAGGCTACAACTTCTGGAAAAAGTCAGGTGAGACTGAGCTATTGCTACCACCGAGACCTACAACACAAGGTAGAAAACGAATCCCAACAAGAATCAAAGAGAAGAATGAGTCACCTCAAAAGAAGAAGAGCAAGGGCAAAGAGAAAGAGCTTAAAATTTCTAGGAAGAAAAGAATTGTTCATTGTGGAATATGTGGTGGAGAAGGGCATAACACAAGGAAGTGCAATTTCTTAGGACCTGCTCCTTATAGACGTCCAAAGAAGGTTAAAGAGAGTACAACAATTGGATCATCAAGTCAGCCAACACAAAGCCAAGTCTTTGACTAAACTCTCAGGTTTAGGAGTGAAGGTGCTCTGGATTTTTTTGAATGAGCATTTAGAGAATTCGGATAGGATAATATTTTGGTGATGTATCTTTAGGATTTATGTTATCTTGACTTTTGGATTAAGTCTCTTGTAACCAAATGATAATTCTGTTTCCATTTATGGTTAAGTCAATTTCTTTTCTTTTCAACATTGTTAATGCATAATTTCCCATTAGATAATACAATGTCTGACTAATATCAAACACAAATAAGAACCAGAATCAGAATGACTACAACACAAACACATAAACAAGAACCATCAACACTATACACACAAGAATGTTCTTCAAACCACGCAATTCTATCTTGCATCCTTGAATCTCCTTCTCTAAACCACGAAGCTCCTTCTCTAAACCGCATACAACAGCTTCACATGTACGAGTCTCCATTGCAAGAGTTTCCATCTCAGCTTGTAAACCCTTTTGTAATGTCAATGAAGCTCTTTCAAGTTCATCAATCTTCGGAATTATGTCTTCCATCTCTTCAACCATTGTTTCATCAGTCCACCTAAACAAGTGACCACGACTATTCTGCAGCTTACAAAAACACAATTAAGACAATACCCATAATTTAACCTCAATTACACTACAATATCATTACCTCCTCTCCATATCGACAAGCATAAAAGAGTCTCCCTGGATTTTTTATAGTCTTTGATGTCCTCAAAACTACACCCTCTCCACATCTACATCGATTTGGAATCCCTCTCTCACCCATTTTCAACTCAGAATTCGTCTCACTCTGTTGCTGGGATCTCCTCTGTCGCTCGTCTCAAGTATCTCTCAAACCCTCGATTTTGCCCCGACAAAGAGAAGGAAGGATCCTAAATCGTGACTAAAAACCCCCAAATTATAAAACGACGTCGTTTTGATTTGCACAAAACGACGTCGTTTTGCCTTGTTGTCAAATGAGAAACCACCTAGACCAAAACGCAGTCGTTTAATATGATCACGTGTCATCCTCGTCAGCATCCGTTAACGGAACAGTAACACCGTCACACGATTTGAGGGATCCTACCGGAGTAGAATAGTTTGTGATGAAAATTCAAATTAAATTGAAGTTCACACAGACGAAAGTTCTGTGTATGAAAACGATAAAGTAACTTAGTTCGGGGTGGAATAGGCCGTTTTCCCCGTTTTTTCTTGGTCTTCGGGGTTCATCATTATTTGATTATAACCCGAGAAGGCGTCCATGAATGTTAACAGCTCGTTTCCAGCGGTGGACTCTACAAGTCGATCTAATGTTAACAGCTTTATCGAGATCAGTGAAGTCGATGCAAACCCTATCTTTTCCATTCTTCTTCTTGACAACGACAGTGTTTGCTACCCACTCCGGGTATTGCACTTCTCTTATGGACCCTATTTTCAAAAGTTTATCTACTTCGTCATTTACTATTTTTGCTCGTTCCACTCCGAGCTTTCTTCTTTTTTGTTTCACCGGCTTGAAGCTTGGATCCACGTTTAGTTCATGACAAATTATGCTTGGATCTATGCCGGGCATATCTGCTGCTGACCATGCGAATGATGTTATGTTTTTTCTCAAAAGTTCGATCAAAGCTTCTTTTAATTGGCCAGTCAAAGTTGCCCCAATTCAAATTTTCCGGTCCGGTTTATCTTCTTCCAACACCACTTCAATTACTACATCATTTTTTTTCTGCCCGCTAAGAAATTTTGTTCTTAGTCCCTCTTTTGCGGGCTTCGTTAATTGCTATTGAATCTTCATACGGTGGCTAGCTAGATAACACGTCCGTGAAGCTTCTTGATCTCCCCGAATTGTTTCCACTCCTCTTAATGTTGGAAATTTGATACATTGATGATATGTAGAGGGGACTGCTTTAATTTGATAAATACAGGGAGTCCCGAAGATGATGTTGTAAGCTGCGGGCTTATCGAAGACAACGAAGTCCACGATCTTCGATACCTTTTTGGCAAGGACCGGTAGCTTGATTGTTCTGAGAGACATGGCTGACTCACTTGTGAATGCAACTAATGGAGATGGAGGCCCCACTATGTCTGCCCGACTAATTCCCATTCTTTCTAAAGTACTTAAAAAGATCAGGTCGACCGAACTGCCTGTATCTATAAGGATCCTTGATACTTCAAAGTTGGCAACGTCTAGGGTAATGACTAGGGAATCATCATGAGGTCTTTCGAGGTGCCGCGTTTCTTCTTCATTAAATGATATTGATGCACCTTGAAAATCGACTTCTTCGCTCAAGCTTGCTTTGAGTAGGACATTTCGTCTATGTTTCTTGATGGAACTTATCGAATCTCGACAAAATTTGGAACCTCCTAGAATAACATTGATCTTACCCTTAGAATTCCTTGGTTCTTCCTCGTTGGTTAACCTTGGTCTTTTGGAATTTTGATCTCTGGAATTTTCCTTTGCTTCGTGGTATTCCTTCACAAAATCTTTTATATCGAATTTGGAAAGATCTTCACTGGCCCAAAGCTCTGCGAGGTGCCTTTTAAGAACGCTACAATCCTTGGTTAAATGTCCGGTCACTTTATGAATGTCGCAATATAAACTTTCATCACGGACCCAAGTGTTTGATCTTCCTTTCCCTTGGAATTGCTTTCCGACGGTACTGTTGAAGGGTTGCGACCCAAATTTCTTTGGTCCTTTGTTTTCCCTGGGTTCGAACTTCTTGGTAAGGACGGTGATTGCCGGCTTCTCTTGCTTATTTCTTTTGGCAAAATTTTCTTTTTCGTCCTCTACCTCCATCCAGTTGTTTGCGCGGAAGAGTGCATCCTGAATTGTGTCTGGTTTATGAAGTATTAAATCTTCTTTAAATCTTGAATCATATCGCAATCCTTTTCGTAAGGCAGATAAAGCTGATTGTTGTGAGATTCTTAGGAGCTTTGACAGCACTCCTTTGAACTTGGTGATGAAAACTCGAAGTGATTCATTTGATCCTTGTGATAAGTTCCAAAGATCGGCATCCGAAACGCTTTTATCCATAAGGATGGAATATTGCTTTAAGAATACAGCTGATAGCTCGTCGAAATTGCTGATCGAACCCGGCTCTAATTGGGTGAACCACATTAAAGCTTAGCCGCATAGATTTTCCGAAAAAAGCTTGCAGTAACCTGCATCCTCATCAGCTTCATCCAATTCGACTCTTCCAGCAGCGATCAGAAAAGCTGCGAGATAGCTCTTTGCATCCTCCAATCCGCTGTAAGGGTCCAACTTGAGCTTCCGGGAATCTTTGATTCTCAAACTCGCAATTCGCGAAATGAAAGGTGTTCGCCTAGCTTCTTCAATGACTCGATTGATATCCGGCTCCGAGCTTGTAGCCTGATGGAACTTTAACTTCATTTCTTTTAGTTCTTGGCTAACCTTCCTCATAGTCTCGAACTGGTCGAGGTTTTCCTGCTCGTATTGGTCTGCAAGTTGAGCTTCATCTTCGAGCTGTGCCTCTCCATCCAATGGCTGAACTACATTATTAGTAGTACCAGGAGTTGTTTGTCCGCTGGTTTCATTTCGCGCAACGTAACTTGGCGAGTTGAGTATCCTCCTTCGGATTCCCACAGGATTTCCTGCACTTAAAGAGCGAACACGAGTTTGTATAGTATTGACGTTTTGACTAAGAGATACCTGGGATGTTTGCAACGTATCGACAGCCTTTTCCACATCCGAGAACTTTTGTGATATGTCCGACATGGTTTGCTGCATAGCTTTGAGGGTTTCGGCCAATGATGTCTCAACGGCGTCTCCTCCGGACATTGCTGCTTATCTCGGGAATGTAGTAAAGAAAAATTTGACCACTCAAGAATCCTCTATCCCCACAGGCGGCGCCAAAATGTGGATGTCGGATTCACACACTCAAGTATTTTTATTAGGAAAGATTATTCTTGAGGGACAAAAAATAAGAACGTAAAAGGCTTATGAATTGCTACAAAAATTGCTATAGTCTTTCTTGCTCAAGAGAGAGATATCCCCCCTTTACATGACCATTGGCCTTTATATTTATACATAGAGAAACGACATTAAAATGAATAATTAAGTACAATTATTCCCTCTTAAATGTGTCCGTTTTGATCTTTGACTTTAATGCTCAACGTTTGAATTTGAGTTAACTCTGATCTTCATGGGCCTCGCCTTTTGGCCCAAGTGTCCTTGAACCGACTTACCCGTGTCTTCTATACCGAACTCACGTCGAAGCGCAGTCACTTCGGATTCTCGAAGTGGTGATAACCACCTCGACCGTTCCTTCGGCTCACGGGTCCAATGGGCTTTATCCTTTATGGGCCATTATCTTGACTACGTGGCAATCTTTGGTTGGTCTCGGACTTCTGGTGCGGGATCCGACACCAACAATAGAAAAATTTAATCGGATTGAAATAAGTGAAACGAGATCGTTTTGGTGGCTGAGATTTCAGGCCATCAATAGATAGAGTCATTGGAGAAACATGGGGATGAAGCTCTTGGAGGAAGATGAAGACTTCGACAGAAGTGGAAGAACCATTTTTTTCCCTTTTTTTAGGTTTAATATTTTCAATTTTATTATTTGTTTTAAATAAAAAATAAATCAGATTAATTTTTTTTAATAAAAATATTCACCATTAACCATATTTTTTTTTCTCCGATTTCCAAAGGTGTTGCCAAGAAGAAGAAGCCATTAACCATTTGATATTCATATGTCTTTCTGCCCAACCCGTTTGGCGATGTGTGAATATATTTTTTGCCAGCAACTAGTTTTCTTTGATAATCATGAAGTTAATATCTGTAAATAGTAATTTGCACAACAACACACTGTTTTGTTTGGAACACGCCAAGACCAACGCTTTTATAATAGTTTTATTATATGTCTATCTTTACACCATAAAAGAGTTACAACATATTCAGCTTTACTTAATCTAGATTTTCCCTAGGCTTGACATAGACAAAACCTAGTCTTAAGCAGTGATGCTCTGTTCTTTTTGTTATCACTCATACGGTGAAGACAAAGAGGATTGAAATAAAAGTTCTATTGGAAAGACTTACACACAAGTAAATCAATCGTAGTACCTACCATAATACCTAGAACTGAACACTTACCCACCTTCCTTGCTCGTTGTTTATATTGAAGCTTGGAAGAACAAACTCACAAATAGTCAAAGTGTTAACGGCGGCTTATGGCTCACTTCAACTCTTTATAAGACTCCATGGAAACCCTAACAAAAATCTTTGAAAATATCTACGAAAATGAATAAACTTGCACCTCAAGTTTATCCTTTCCATAACTTGATCTAGAGAATATTTTGTGTATTTCTAAACCAAAATTTTCCATATCTCCATGACACGTTAGCTTTTTGCTTCCTTGCCATGACACATCAGCTTTCCATAAGTGTCACATCAGCTTTTAGGTTCTCCGCACTCATATGTCGCTTGATGTAGATAACAGATGATTGTTGTCATCAGCTCGCTGTAGTCCATCAACTCATTGTTGACAGATATGCATCTTCAATATCCAAATGTTAGATTCAATTACAGAAGATTCAGTTTTTCCCTCTTCACAACATTATTTTGTTTTTTCGATGATATGACGCATATGTAAATGAAAAAATGACTTTCTTTTCCAAAATATAAACCGAAATCCAACTAGCGAGTCGCATAAAAGGATGTTGGAGGTTAATGAGTGATTGAACGCAATTAATGCATGTACAAGTTCACGGAAAAACCAACGCTCATCCTACGTCTAATCATTCCCATTTTCAAGGGAGAACTATGAGTAGACAATGGCTTCCCGGCCCCCTCCAACATGATTGCTAAAACTGTTACTTTGATCATACAAGGTGATTAATAAGAGACCAAGTACTATTCTCTATATGTGTGAAACTTCAGCCTTCCCTTTTGTACAAAGAGTCCCAAAAGGGAAAAGGGAAGGAATTAGTAAATCTTACTGAGCACTTTGAGGGTACATCGTACCTCGATGCTTCCGACTTTGTAAACGATTTCGTCGAGACTGCTCATGCGGATAACTGAAATGCTTGTAGTGAGACTACTAGTATCCAGTAATGCTATTATATAATTATTATGTATTTCAGTTTTTCTAAATA